CTGTTTGGTTTGTTTAACCTGGCATTTTCCCAATTCATCTGGGCCAGGACCACCATTCCAAAGCTCATTGATTAGTCTCTAATATGTGAATCGACACACTTAGGCGTATAATAGTTGCAACGTGATTAAATAAAATTTTATCAATTTGAATTCAGTTGACTTGAAAAACAAGTCAAAATCCACCATGATCAATCCATATATATTCCAGAAGTGGAAAGATTAAATTCAATATTAAGGAATCTGTGAATATACTGTCTTGTTAAAAGTAAATAAGTCATGAATTACTACCAACAGAATAGATATTTAAAAGTATTTGTTAAGTCTCAACATCAATGACTTATAAATTTTTAAAAATAGTAAACTAGGAGGAAAATTTAAACTTCTTATGACAAAGTTTTGTATCAGAAGCCAGCAACAACACTAAATACCAGTGATTTAGAAAGTATGATGGAAAACAAGTATAAAGGTGAAATAATAAAAGTATTCTCAGCTGAGGGCTGGGCTAGTGGCTCAGCAGAGAAATGTTCACCTAGCACATTTGAAGCCCTGGGTTCAATCCTCAGCACCACATAAAACAACAAATAAAATAAAGGTATTGTGTCCAATTATAACTAAAAAAATAAATATTAAAAGAAAAGTATTCTCAGTTGAATCAGAAACAAAATAAGGATGCCTGCTATAATTGTTACAACCTAAAGCCAATGCAATAAGATAAGAAAAATAATAGATATGAATACTGGGAAGGAAGAGAACACTTTCATTATTTGCTCATGATTTAAGTGTTTCTCTAAGAATAAAAATCAAGAGAATCCAACTAAAAATATTACAGACTTAGGTAAGAATAACAGCAAAATCAATGTCTTTCCTAAATGTTAAGGGAGAAGTTTTCTTTTCCAAATAGAGGAACTTACATTAGAATTTGACTCCTGGCCTTCTCACCTTCTGGGAGGATGAGTGAATTTAGAAGAAGTGATTAATGAGTTTAGGAAAAGGAATTGGAGAACAGAGGATTCTGAGTTCCCTTTGTGAATCTGGATTTGGCTGACTGCAGAAAGCAGTCATAAATATTTTTATGTGCTTTCACTATTCAGTAACTGAACCTGTTTCTGAGAGAGATATTATTGTCCTATAATTCCTGCAACTATAAGACTAAATCTATCTACTTCAAGGAGGAATATGCTAAACCTACTTAGCTACAGATCAAAAGCTACACCTTTTAATCATACTTATCAATAATACAGGTAATATTTTTATGTCCTATCCTCTCTTCTATCTATGCTTCAGTTTGTTTTAAACTCAGAAGGGAGAGAGGCATTACTTGTAGGATTCCCCCATGTATGACACTAAAGACTAGGGATTGCCATTTAGGAAGTGTGATGCAAAAAAATATATTCACATTAACAATAAATATTCCAAGTCATGTGTTAAACATATGCTTAACAAGAAATAGTAAGGTACATTAGAAAACTATAAAGTCTTATTGAAGGGCATAAAAAGAAAATGTTTTTAAGTGGAAAAATATAACAAATCCTTGAATAGAACGTCTCAACATTTAAAAAAATCATATATGCCCAAATAAATTTATAAATTTATAAATCCACATCAAAGGATCAATGTGATTTGGGGGTGAAGAGTGAGCTAAACATGGCAAAATTACTTTAAAGCTTGTTTGATAAGTAAACATGGGGAAATACCCAAAAATGTTGAAATAGAAAAATGAGGGAATATTTCTCTAACAGATATTAAAATATAAAGAGAAACTTCAATAAATAAAACTATGGGCCACAAATGTCGAAATATGCACTTTTATCCCATGTTAAATTCCATTTATAAATGTTTTCTCTTTATACATTGGTCGGTTTGTATATTCCAATAGAATAAGATATACAAACTTGTACATTCCTGGATACCCTTACTTGTTGCTTTCGTATGACTCTCCAGGAAATAAAATGAAACTTGAATGCTCCAGCATGCCCCACAGGGCCTGGTGCTGTCTGGACCCAGCCTGCCCCATCCTTTCCTTTTAGCTCGTTAAGTATCAAAGCTCTTTCTTCCCTGGGTGGTTTGCCTATGCACTTAGTCTTTACAAGGCCTGGACTCTTCTCATCTTTAAACTCTCAGCTTGAATATCACTCCTCAGAGGCCTTCCCTGGTTGCTTATCTAAATAGGTCCCTGTTGTTTCCACATTGCATTTATGTACTTCCTGCTCATCACTGATCACCATTTGCAACTATCCATCATTTACCTCTTCAACAGTGAGTCTTTCCACCAGACCCAAAGCTCCACCCCAGGCAGGGGACATATCTGTTTGGTTCATCAAGCATATTTATGCCACACACTTTAGCCCCTCAATCAACATTCTCATAGAGGGGTCAACGTTTAACAATGTGCAACATTAAAGATATGCATTTAATATGTGCACACAGATGTATGTATGTTCAAAAATAATTATTTCAACATTGCTTACTATGAGAAAATATTGGACATACCTTAATGTCTAGTAATAGAAGACTGAGTCATTAAAAAAAAAAGGCATACTAACATAGAAATATGCCATGGTATCTTGTTAAGTAAAAAGCAGATTATAGGATAGAATGCATTTATTATATGAACCCATCTATTGCATATGTATGTGTGCTAATTTATAATGCATAAATGTTTGCAAATATGTACACTAACTTGTTCTAGTTGTAGATGGACACAATACCTTTATTTTATGTTGAGAGCCACAGCCGAGTTGGGATGACGCTTGGCATTTTGCCAGAAGTAATGGTTGAGAGGCGAGCCATTAAGATGATGCTGGATTGATTCAATTGTATAGAGACCCCTGCTGTCCGCCTTGGGCACCCGCTACTTTGGAGTTCTCACAAGGATTCCTGGGGAGTTCACGTTGGTTGGTGAAGTTCCGGTGGAGGGAATTCCGGTTGGTGTGGTGTGCCAGAGAGGAGCCGCGTGGGTGGCGTTTGGGAGAGTTCCCGGGGAGTGCTGTTGGAGTTCAAGCAATAAAGTTTCCTGTTTGAACATACAAGTGCTTTGTGGCGGCTCGGTGATTTGTGCCCAGCCAGACTGCGGCAATTTTATTTGTTCACTTTTTATGTGGTGCTGAGGATTGAACCTAGTGCCTCACACATGCTACACAAGCACTCTACCAATGAGCCACAACTCCAGCTCCCCAGTGTTAACTTTTAACCATGGCTATGTCTTGGGGATGGTTTACACAGAAACTACCATTTCTTATTCTAGCATATTCATATCACTTAGAAATAATAATGCAAATAACAGAAAACCCAACAGTAGCTTAAACACTAGGCATCTATTTTATTAGTCAGAAGTCATCGACTCTCAGTCTTCTTGTAAAGGGAATGAAGCCATTAAGAACCCACGTCCTTCCATTGCTCTCTGGTATCCTCAACATTGTAACTTTTATCCTCACACGTTACCTCACAGGCACAGGAGTGCTCTCTGGGCTTCAGATGTCAATGGTCTTTTTTTTTTTCAAGCAGGGGATGGGAGCAAAAACTTTCCCAGAAACCCCCCAGGAGACCTGCTAAGAGTTTATTGGCCAGAAATGGTCACATGGCCACTCCTTGCTGCAAGGGAGGCTGGGAAATTGGCTTTGTCAATCATGGTCACCTTCTGGGACTACCCATATCATCAGACCAATTAAAGAAAAAAAATCACTGTTCCATTATCAGAGAAGGCAGCAATTAAGATTTTTTAAATTTTTAATAATGAACATATATGACCTTTTTAATGGGGGGGATAACAATGCGTTTGAAGCCTAAGATCCCAGAGAGCATTCAATGCCACAAACAGTACTTTTTCTGAAAGAAGTAGATAAATCGAGGGGAAAGAGCGAGAGCAGGTCTTTATGTTTACTAAGCTTGATCTGCACAGGTGGAGGACCTCCTCAGCAGCTTCCTGAAGCTTAGATCCCTGCATTTCCCTCTTTGGCTGTCCTAAAGGGCTTTCTCAATTAATAAATACATCATTACTCCTAGGTTGTTTTCTGTATTGATTTGTGGGAACTAGAATGGATTGATTCTGCTTTAAAAGAGCAAGGGCAAAATCCCATTAGTTATCAGCCTTGTTGGCTAAACAGAACTTTCGCCTGCTCTGCACCATTTGGGGTCTGATCTGTGTGCTCAGATTGCACACAGGTGCTTGTAGGAACTGAAGGCAGGCAGGTGGCATTAACATGTTTACAAGACAGGTGTGCAAATGTGGCTGGTTCTCTTTCACAAGAGTTTGGATAGATGTAAGAAATAAACATAGAATCCCCACAAACAGCACTGTTGAAACCAAGAAGCCATGAGCATGTGCAGTCCTCATCTTATAGCACAGAGGCACTGCATGTTGACAGATCCAAATTGGAGAAGTCTTTCAATACTGTCCCTAATCAAGAGGAGCTATGACCCAGAAAGCTGGTACAAAGAATGCATTTAAGACACACCACTTCCTTTTTTTTTTTTTTTTTAGATTTTAAGCTTCCAGAGGGCTGCTGGCACCTTAAGGACCTGGTGCCTCTCATTTAACCACTCCAGGACAAAGTAGGTACTCAACAAATATTTCTTGAATGACTATTAATCCTTGTTATGGTTTGGATATGAGATGTTCCCCCAAAGCTCCTGTGTTAGTGCAGGAATATCCAGAGGTTAAATGATTGGATTTTGAGAGCTGCACCTAATCAGTCCAACCTAGTTTGAATGGACTAACTGGATGGTAACTAGAGGCAGGTGGGGCGTGATGGAGGAGGTGGGTCACTGGGGATGTGCTCCTGAAGAGTTCCTCTTCCCTGGGACCCCTCCCTTTCCCCCAGCCCTTTTTCCCTCTGCGATGCCCTTCCACCATGATGTTCTGCTTCACCTGGGCCCAGAGTGATAGATTCGTTCATCTATGGACTGAGACCTTTGTAACTGAACCCCAAATAAACTTTCCCTCCTCTAAGTTGTTCTTGTCAAGTCTTTTGGTCACAGTAACACAAACATGACTAAAACAGTCCTCCTGGCAGCTTTTAATTTCCATTCACAGGATATTTCCTCTGTGCCTGGCGCTGGGCTAGCCCTTCTTACCAAACCATTTCACTAAATATCAACATTATTCCTATGAAGCAGAGAGCCTGGTTCTCACATTAGACCTATGGAACTTGGACATAGAGAGATAAAGCAGATATCCTAAATCCCATCTTGGGACGTCACCCAGTGGGAGGTAGGAGGTGGAGGTGTCACACTCGGAAGGGAGTGCTCGGAACTTCACTCTACAAAACTCTGGACAGATTTCCAGAGTCCCAGGGAACTATGTGTTGGGCAGAGTCCTGATTCTGTAGATGATAGTTGGTCCTTCACTCCCTGATCGAGAATGCTGGTCAGACTTCTAGATTTAGAGAGATGAGCAGAGAGTCAGTTTTGCCTCCAAGATGCTGAGTTGACACGTTGATGAAGAACGGTTTAATAGAAATACACTCGAACTAGCCTAGACCAAAAAAAAAGAATTCATGGAACAAACTGGAGTTCTCATGGAAGCAGTCATCAGGTGGGAAAACTTCCAGGGCCCCCTGGATGCTCCTTCTCCCTATGGGTCTGTCTTAGGCTTCTGCCCTTCCCAACAGGCCACCTTTTCTCCTCTTCTGTCCCTTGTTCACAAACCACCGTGGCTGCCATGATGGATCCTTTGTGCTACATCAATCCTGGTGACCAGAAGACACTGATGACCATCTCTAATCCCCAATTCCAGACTGATGGGAAGATAATCTGATAGATCTCATAGTAGTCAGGTGTGCACTGGACCCAGTAAACTGGGACCATAGACAGGTCCTCCATTCACCTGTGCCAAGGCTGGGGGCAGGGGAGTTAAAGGGCACAAACCTCAGGAAGGTCAGGGCTGCAGATACACCCAGGAAGAACTGAAAGCAGACACCCAAGCACCAGCAAGACTTCCTCTATCTTGGGGCACACTGTGCTCTGTCTCCTCTCTCCTCACAGGCCTTTCTCCCGCTGCCATGGCAGAAACGGACTGCTGTCAGCTTTGGGTCTTCTCGATGCTTCTGCCAGGACACAAGAACTGGCAGTCTAATAAGTTCACTTTGAAAATCCTGGGGAGTGATTCTGATTGGCCTGCCTGGGATCAGGTGACCACTCTAGCCCAATCAAGGCTGTCCGGAGGGATTTCCTGTGGCGGTCCGGGAGAACGCCCCGGGGTCGGTGGGCATTCCCCCCCTGCCCCCCAGCATAAGGGGCATTGGCGGGGAGTTTCAAAAATAAAGTTTGTTCCTGCTTGAAAAAAAAAAAAAGGCTGTCCGGAGGGACTTTGTCATAAATTGACATAAATTGACAATTGCTCCTGCAGAAGGAAAGCGAGTGGCCCCAGGCAAATCCACCAATGGACTGGTCCAGGCTGGGTCCCTCTGCTATGCCCCCACCCCACCCCCCAAATTATCTCAAACTCAGGAAGCAAAGCCATGTCATCTCTACGCCATCCCACCCCATGATTAGGGTCCAAACCTGCTGACTCTACCCTTCTAAGGCTTGCAGCCTTCCCACCCAACCCTGGAAGGCAGGCTAGCAGCCACCAGCCGCCTCCTCCCTGCCTTCCTTCCCTCCCTGCTCCCTCCTCTCTGGGTCTACATGTGTGGGTGTTTAGATAACTGTGTGTTTTCCTCCTATTTCCAACTATCTGGTTCTTAATATGCCAATCTTCCAATAAAAGAGTCCAAATAACCACTTCTCTGTGAAGAAATTGGCTAGCAAAGCAAAAAACGAATTGTCTTTCAGACCATTTATCTGCCGTGGATTTTTTTTTTTTTTAGAGCAGTTTTAGGTTCCTGGCAAAGTTGAGCAGGAAGTACAGAGACGTCCCTTCCACCAGCAACCTCTGCCCTCCCATACAGTCAGCTTCCCCACCATCCACGTTCCCCACCACAGTTGGACAAGTGATCACATTGATGAGCCTGCATTGACACATCACTGTCCCCCCAAGTCCAAAGCTGACATTAGGGTTCACTCCTGGGTTTGGACAAATATATAATGGCCTGTGTCCACCATTATAAGAGCATACAGAGGAGCTTCACTATCCAGAAAATTCTCTACGCTTCACCCATTCCTCCCTCCCTCCCCCAAGCCCCTTGACAACCACTGATTCTTTAGTCTGCATAGTTTTTCCTTTTCCAGAGCCTCCTGTAGTCAAGATCATGCAGCATGCCACCTTCCCAGTTTGGCTTCTCTCAATTTAAGTTTCCTCTGTATCTTTTCATGGCCTGAGAGCTTCTTTCTTAGCATTGAACAATATTCCACGGTGGCTGTACCACAGTTTATTTATCCATTCACCAACCAAAGGACGCCTACCTAACTCTGAGTTTTGGCAATTATGAAGAAAACTTCTTTCTATAAACATTCATGTGTACATGTGTAGTTTGTTTGTTTGTTTGTTTTTAGGATGTGTTTTCACCTCCTTTGGTTAAATACTAAGGAGTGTGACTGCGGATCACATTAAGGGTATGTTTGGTTTTGTAAGCAGCTGCCCAGCTGTCTTTCAAAGTGGCTGTACCATTCCACATCCCACCCGCCATGAATGACAGTTCTATTGCTCCACATTCTCGCCAGCATTTGGTGTGGTCAGTGTTTCAGATTTTGGTCATTCTAGTAGGCCAGTGGTAGTAGCTCATGGTTGTTTTAATTTGCACTTCTCTGATGGCATATGAGATGGACCATCTCTTCACATACTTATTTGCCATCTCTACATCTTCTTTGGTGAAGTATCTGTTAAATTCTTCGGCTCATTTTTTAATCAGGTTATTTTCTTCTTCTGAGTCTTGCTAGTTGTTTGTATATTTTGGATAGTAGTCCTTCATCAGATATGTCTTTTGCAAATATTTTCTCTCATTCCATGGTTTTTCTTCTCATTCTCTTGATGCCATGGATATTAGTCGTGAAATTTAAAAACTCAAAGCCGAGAAATTCTCTGCTTTTGCTGTTTTCTTGCACTTATCTGTCTCATTTCTTTCTTTGGGCATGAAGCCTAAAGAAGGAAAAGTCTCAGAATAAGGTGCTGGAAGGGATTTCCAAGAGAAAACACATTAATAAACTACCTATCGATGACACCGGTATTATATAGTGAGTAGGAATTTGCCAAAAGCATCAATATATAAAGCCAAAGTACTTTGGGAACAGTGTGGATAGAAATATTCATTCATCCAGGAAGAAGTAACAGGGGAAGGACGTAAGTCTGCTTCTCACATGGCTCACGGTGGTCGCAGCTCAGACCCAGCCATGTGATAAGAGTTTCTTATGGATAACTCCAGGAAGCCAACTAATGTCCAATACCTGTGCCTGTCCAGATGGTGTGTCTGAGCATGCTTGCATTGCAGGATATATATAGAAATTGATCAAACATGTTCACTATGAAAAGAATGTTCTTGATTATAGTGCTGTTTCCTTCCAACTTGTAAATACTAAGATGCTCTTTATTCTATGGAATGGCGGTGACCGTGCATGTACTTGTGAGACAGACTCATGCTTTGTTGGTTTCATTGTAAGCAGCTCTTTGTTGATTTCTGAGTTATTTTTGGAATTTGCCGGTCCATGAAAGTCCACGGTCTGGGAGTCAGGGCCTCCCTGATTAAACATCTGATTTTGAACACTTTACTCCAGCTTTGACCTGAGTGTCCTTTTAGAACACAACTTTCAGTAATCTGTTGATGTTGTAGGTTCCAGGAGGTGAAATTTGCTCCTCACTGAAGGCCACGAATGACAAACTCAAAAGGGGAAGGAACTGGGATAGCATTTCACATCACAGGGGGAACTCTCATGGCTCGCGGTTCAGTTTTCACACACTAAGCAGACTGCCAACTAAAATGTAAATTTGTTATGTTATTATCTGCAATAGAGATGGTTGGGACCCTCCAATGTAAGTCATTTATCTCCCAGCTTCCCTTGTAGTTAGGTTGGCCATATGGCTAGTTCTGGCCAATGGGATGTGAGCAGAAGGGATATGTAACACTTTTAGGCTACTGTGGATAAGTATCTGCTATGCATTCCCCTCTTCCCCTTCCATCTATCCCCAGGGCCATTGTAAAGCAAATAAAAGCAACAAAAGGTTGGTGGAAGCCTGAGTGCCTGAGTTCACCATTTACAAGAAATCCTTTAGAAATAAGCATCTGCTGGAGCAAGACATTGAGATTTTAGGACTTATTCGTTATTGCAGCAGCTCCTATACTATTCTGACTGATACACCATCTTGCTAAAATACTTGCCATTGGCTTTCCATTGTGTTTAGAAAAAAATCTGAAATCTTTTCCTGGGCTTACAAAGCCCTCCACTTGGTCGTCCCTACTGCTCTTAGACCTGCTCTCTTGCCTTCTGCTCCCATGTTCACTCTGCTCCAGCCACACTGGCCCTTGAGGGCATTCAAACATGCCAAGCTCATGGCCCCCATAGGGAGTTTGCACTAATGAATCTTTCTGCCTGGAATGTTCTCCTGCCAGATCTTGCTCCCTCTTGACATTTACCTCAATTTAAATGCCACCTCCTCTGAGCTGTCTTCCCCAGCCCCCTAACTGAAAGGCTTCCTGGGCTGGTCACTCTGTATCCTCACGTTCTCTTTTCATCTTGGTACTTATCATCGTTTGTCACTACCTGGCAATTTCCTTATTGGACTGCTTGCTTTCTGTCTTTCCTGTCTGTCCTTCCTGTTTACCAGTGAAGTCTCAATACCTAGCAAAGAGCCTGGGGCGCAGATGTTTGGTAAGTGAATGGATGAAGAAACAGATGAGGCGGCTTGGTTTCCTCATTTCTGCCCAAGGATTAACTGGGTCTGGTAGACAACAGGACCAAGTCCCCATCATCAATTACTAAGTGACAAACCTTCCCCAAACAGTTACTTATAATAACCACGATTTTTTACTTTATTCATAAATCTAGGGGTTCTGCCGCGCAGTTCTCAATTGGGGTCTGTCATGGGGTTGTATTCAGACGGGTTGTTCTGAAGACCCTTCACACACATGTCTGGCTCCTGGGCTAGGAAGATTGAAACATCTGGAATTTAAACCACACTGACCAGCTGTGTGACTTTAGACAAGTTACTTAATCTCTCTGGGTCCCAGATATTTGTTTGTAAAATAGGAGCAGATATATAATAATAGTGCTTATCAATTATTAGGCACCTATTATGTTTTGGGCACACAAAAACTAGCCCAGACTTACAAATAAAGAAGGACAGCAGCTCTACCTACCACAATTTGTAGGGAAACATTTTTCCACCTGGTCTGCAAAAGATGCAGAAAGGTTTGCCATCCACCTGGACCAGGAGTAGAAAAAGCAAACAGGAGTCCTGGGGTATGCTGTGTTCCTGCTGGAAGCCTGGAACCATGGGAATCATCCTGAGAAATTAATAAGTATGCGTATCTGGACCCGGAGAGACAAGCCTTGGCTCCCCAGTAGAGGCAAGCTTCCGATTGCTCCAAAGACAGAACCCAGGCCACGCAGGAGGCCAGAGAAAACAGGCTCTGCCTAGTGAGAACCCACGGAGCACACCAGGAACCAACCATGCGGAGAAAGACCCTGTGGGTGCAACCAAGGGGATCACTTGTCCCCCGCATCCTGGAGAGGCAGGGGCACCCTGGAAAGTGCACACTGAGCCTGCTCTGTGAGACAAGGAGTGAAACCAGGAGATAAAGGAACAGACAAGGCGGGGAGCAGCGGGACTCTCGCCCACGTCAGAGCCGAGCCAGACCAAGATGAGACCTGAGTCCGTGTGTGAGGGGGAGGCAGGTCCCTGCCCTGCAGCCCCTTCCTGCTGGCTTCTCCAGGAAGGGTCTGTTTCCTAGGCTGAGGCCACACATGGCCACCATTTCTTATCTGCCATCAGTTTTGCAGAAAGAACAAATCAAAGTATCTATCAAAAAATCAACTCTGTTTATCACAGAGGCTGATGAGTCCGGAGGAGAAAGTAAGGGTCAGCTATTGTCCTTGAGGGTTTTAACCAGGATCTGGATGTAGATTCCACCTCAAAGTGCAGGTAGTAGCATGCATGCACC